TCGAGCTCGAGCAAAACATGCCCGTGGTCCGCCCACGGGGTCTGATCTTGATCCCTGGCCATCGAGGCCGTCTCTGGACTCAGAGGCTCGCTGAAACCGCCCGAGGAGGAGGAGGGGCACCTGGGAGGGGGAGCAGGAGCAGTACCTCCCGCCTTCTCCTTCGCCTCCTCTATGGCCTCCTCAAGCGCGGCATCGCCTTCGAACGACACCGTGGTGAGCCCCTGAGGGCCCCCAGATTGTCGAAATTGCCCAGGTCCGCGCAGTGGTCCTCAGCTCGGCCGATGAACTTCCGCGGGGACCGTGCCAGATACAGCGTGCCTCGCGCCATAAGCCCCACGACGGGGTCTCGCCTCGCCAATCGAGCCCCTTGCTTGGCCAAACGGTCGGTCTCCGAATTGCCCTGGTACTCAAACAAGGCAACGCGCCCTTCTCGGACATCGGACATGCTTGCACGGGCTGCAACTGGTTTGAAGGCCACTGCTGGTGGTTGCCCCCCCTTCACATGCACGGCGCCACGCGTGAGCCCGAATGTTGGACGAGCGAGTGGCAAAGGCGGCGGGGGCCAACGACACTGGAGCGCGCCCTGGCAGTCTAAATAGACAGTGAAAGAGCAGGGCCGTGTGAACAGCGAAAACCTCGCCATTTCGGGCCACTTGGTCGGGCCCTTCGGTCGGGGGGGGGGGCGCTCAATGCCACCCCCCACGGCAGCGGGGCCCCTCGTCGTAAACTGCGGACCACCTACCCGCGACACAGAGAGATGGAAAAATGCCATCCAGCCCCAACCCGTCGCAAAAAAAACTACCTTCCACCAGGGCATGCGGCGCCCCTTGCCCTTCAGCCCTGAACTCCCGCGCTGGGCCCCAAACGGGTCTGGCAAAGGCTTGGCACGGGTCGGGGGGGTGCTAGACTGTTCCTGCTGATCTAAACTCGACAGGCTTGCTACTGGCTGCCCCAGATCCCTCGGCAAGAAATCCCGTCGCCACCCCCGACGCGCTGGGCACTCGAAGTGACGATGGAAAAGCGTGTGCTTCTCCTCCCCACAGGAGGGAATGGCCGGGCAGCATCGGATCGTGCTCGTGCAGACGACGTCGGGACCAATGCGAGCCCGCGACCAGTCCACGCAGCACACGCTGCCCCCTCGCACCCCACGCCCCGCCCGACACCCCCTCGTCCTCTTGGCGGTCAATGCGCGCATGCAACAATTCACTTCATGGCCGCCAGAAAATCGCACCTCGCCAGCCTTTCCCTGTCCGACCTTGGCCAGACCTTCGCGATCCGAAAGGTATTGTGTATTATAAGTGCGTCGATGTGTTTATCTATACATCTATATATATATATATACACACAATAATAAATATATAGTTGTGTTGTGTATTAAACAACAACAACAACAACAACAATAAAACAAAAGAAAACTGCGCCCTGCGCGCCGCGAGCGCTGGCGAGACCCTGCGGAGGCCCCATTGCTCCCCAGCGGCTTCGCGGAGGGTCCACGGGTCGACAAGAAAGAAGCCTGCACGGGCGCTCACGAGGACGAGGGCCGCCACGAGATCCTCGACATTCGCCCAGGCAGCGGCTGCCTGCAGAAGCCCTTGGCCTCGCCCGAAGACCCACCCGAGGACTGCGGGGGCGAGGCGCTGACGCTGCAAGACGTGGCACCACGCGCGGAAGGCGTCAGATGTGACGAGCACTGGCGGGCCCCGAGACCAACCCCCTCTGGATCACGGGCGCCAACTCGAGAGGGCATCCCTTGGGGGGGGGCGGCCCTCCGCGGGCAGCGCCGAGGTTCGAAGCCTCTCGAGCCTGCCGTTGGGGAACCCGTGCACATGTGCATCCCGCAAGGCCTTCGCGGTTAGTAGTAGGAGTAGTAGTACTGGTAGTCATAGTAGTAGTAGTAGTAGTAGTAGTAGTAGTAGTAGTAGTAGTAGTCGTCGTATTCGTAGCAGGCCCTGAACGCGCCTCCGCGCGGGGCCAAGCCTGCCTCAAGGCCAGGGCCCTCCCAACTTTCTGCTGCGCCTCAAAGTGGAGCTCATGCTGCGTCCTAACCCTTCTGCGGGCCCCACCCATAGCGACCCCCCCCCCCCCCCCCGAGGTCGCGGCGAACTTGACAGCGCGACGAAGCTGGCAGACCACAGCCCCCAGGTCAAAATTTGGCGAGTGCAGGCGATGGCGAGAGGAGCCCAAGCACGTTCTGAGCGACTGGCAAGCCCGAGCGCTTCAAATCACCCATGGTGGAGCCAAAAGATCGGGCGAGCTCTCGAACGACGACTTCGGCACCGCCCACCGCATGCAATGAGACATCGTCGACGACACCATCGACGCAAACTGCGAGGGGGGGGGGCGGCCGCCACCCTGCGCGAGGCGCGGAGCAGCAGCAACCGCGCGAGGGCCGTCGACCGTGTGCAGCCAGCAATGACTGCCCCGTTGAGCTCGATCACCCTGTTGATGGCCCCCTGCCACAAGACGCGGCGCGGCCCGCGACACATGCGGCAGCAAGCCC